TGCGCTATTACGAGTGCTAATCTGGCCTGAAAAGCGGGAGGAATACATGCATTTGCACGGGCCTTGTATGCCCATCTCTCTTCTGAGCTAATATCAAGTTAATCTGCCCCGAAAAGGGGGACGAATACAAGCATTTGCACGGGCCTTGTATGCCTGTCTCTCTTCTGTGCCATTACATGGAGTTCGTGGGGACTTRATRTACACARATATGCCCTGYGAAGTGAGGTGGATACATACAGAGTGTTGAGGCTTGATTTGCCCGTCTCTCCCCTGGGCGAACTGYTGAAGCTTGGTACGCTTGGTTCCTTCCTATACGATTAAGAGCATTAATCTGCTCCSAGAAGTGGGTCAAATGCATGCAGAATTCACARTTTGKTAACCCGCTCAAACAGCTCTGAGAAGCAAGGCTGTAGTCAGGCAGAACAGAGCCAGAAGTACCATGGCTTTCCTCCTCTGAGTGTTACCAGCGAAACCYCCTCAACTAGCGGATAAACACATTGAGTGGGAACAAAACCCGCTTGATCATGTGAACTCGTTACAGAGCGGGGAAGGGAGAGGGACAAAACAGTGAGAGAGAAAGAGAGAGAGAGATAGGGGGAGTGGCAGGAAGGCAACAGAGATAGAGAGCGAACAGCGAAGGGGGAGGGAAACAGGGAGAGAAAGTGAGAGAGTTGAACTGGCGAGAACAAATATGGGCGGGTGACATTGGACTTTCTTTGGATTGTTACTCAATTTTATTTATTTTGTACTTTTTTTTATCAGAATACTTACCCTGAGTTCAGAGGGGGCTACTTAAAGAGGGACATTTTACCACGCCGAACGTAACTGTCTGTAACCCAGATTCGACTCTAACTTAGACCTGTAGATTCACAGGCTGAATGCTGCTGAAAGGGCTTCGTTTGACTTGCTGCAACTTCTCGCTCTCCCCCGTAAACGGAGCCTTGTCATGCTGATCGCACAGCTTATTGAAAGTAAACTTTTATTTGCCCTTTTGGAACTCCCGATGTTCTTTGGGCTCAGACTCCAGAATGAACTGGTGAAAGTTTCTGCCATTGAAGAATGAGCTGGGTTATAGCAAGGGATTTCTGATGCTCAGGGCATTTCCGAGAGGGGGCGTGACAGCCAAAATGAACTCCACTAACCCTGCCGATCGTTGAAGACCTCGGAAGCGGGCACGGCGAGTGACAGGCGTCGTTGCCCTTGGCTCCGGCGAACAGTAGGCGACCCCTCCCCGGGTTTCCTCACAACTTTGGCGCCGTTGCCGGGGAGGGGACTGCACCCTCAAGGCCGCGGCCTTCCCCAATTAACAGGGGTGCGCGGGCTGATTAGTCCACGCACTAATTAGCTCGTTTTCTTGATTAATTCTATTTTTGATTAATTTTTGAATTAGGTTTCTTTAGATATCTCGTAATCTGCGGATTTTCTCACGAAGAACGTAGAGGCCAAAGTTCGTCCTCTCGAGGAGGCGAACGTTATGATACGTATCTTGCTGAAATCTAACAGTCAGATTTTGAGATAACGAATTTTTTTTTATTTCCTATTTATTAATTCAAAATTTTTAGTTTTTTTTTTTAATTTTTGCGGAAAATTGGTTCATTATTTTGGAATAACCCCTTGGACCAAATTTGTTTAGTTTATTTTTTTCGTCGTTTTGATACCTTGGACGGGGCAAACGGAGGTAGTTAGAGGCAAGAACGGTATGTAACAGCTAAGAAAAAGAGCTAAGACAAAAATTGAAAATATAATTTATTTTGAATTTCGTGTAAAATACTGTAAAAGGGATTAAGAAAAGGAGATTCGCCAAGGTTACCGCAGATTTCGAGTGGAGTTAACGGAAAAATTTTGGGAAGGGACGAGTTTTGGAGGTGAGCGTGCGGTTGCGCAAGGAGCTTCCAAAACTCTAGTTAGTTAAAACCCTAATTAGGGGAAACCCTAGTTAGGGGAAGACTTATTCGGGGTTTTTGAGTCGGATAACAACCTCGAAGAAGAAGCTAATATATGTGAAATATTTTGCCTTTCGTATTTTTAGGCATTTTCTCTTTTTGTATAATTAATTTAAAGAAAATACTAAAAATAGGGAAAAAGAATTAATTAATTTTTATTTTATTTCTAAAAATTCTGATGTCTTTTCTTTCAGGTTGTTGAGCTAGGGGCGGATGCTCCAAATCCCATCCCCACAGGGGGAGGGAAAATGCTGCCCAATTTTCGAGAAAATTGGTTAAATATTTCAAATTAATTAGGAAATAATTAGAGAAAATACTCAAAAATTGGTTAAAAATTAAAATTTTCTTTTGATATTTTTTCCCTTTTGCTATACTCCTACGGCGGCTATTTTGAGGCCTTCGGCCACACCCCATCCCCACTGGGGGAGGCGAAGTGCTGCCGAATTTTTTTGGGGACCCTTGTGGTCAAGCAGTTTTGCCTAAAGACATATATAAGGGACATGAGTGTATGTAAAATAAGAAAGGGGGGTGTATCTTATGTAAATGAAATTATTGTAAATTAAATAGAGTTAAATACAGAAAAATATTGGTGGAAAGAATAACACATTTGTCGCGCTGCTCCCTAGGGAAAGCATTGCATGCCTCTAGGCAGTAGTCGAGGGTCAGTGGGTTTCTAGAAGATAAGAGTAGTTTATATTTATTTAAATTCATTAAAATTTCCTAAAAATATTAAAATGATTTAGAAAGATGGCGAAAGAAGGTGAGGGCCTTCTGATTTTGTTTCTTAGGTAGGGAAAGACATTTGTACTCCTGACGGGTGACTGGAGTAGTCGGAGGCGGCGTTCCCTCGAACAGAGCACGCGCCTTCTATTCGACGGAACTCGACTATAGGGCATGTTGCCTTGTCTAGAACCGGGACTCCGCCCTGTAGCACCCTAAGGGACCTTTGGATAGTTAGGAGATAGATCAACAGCGTGACATCGGGGCTCCCAACGAAGGGAGGCGAAGCGCTGGCGGAATTCCCTCAGAATCAACAAACCTTCTTCTCCTATTTTTCACTTTTTCTACCCATCCCTCTTGCTGCGTTCTCCCTAGTCGCCAGTTGGATGTGGCCGCGAGCGCAAGTAGAGGTCTATGAGGCCACCATAGAAGGGGATCTGGTGGAGCTCACGATCCCCGGGCGCAGCGTTCGACACGTTGACGCCCAGTTTGCGTGGAGGTCCTTAGTCCTGTCAGAGGACGTGTGGCTTTGGATGCACAGAGTGCACCAGCCTTAGCAAGGAGTGGGCGTGGTAAGGGCCTACTTGTACTTAGGACCGGGCGCGGTTACGGAGGCCGTGATGAGCCTCGCGACGACAGGGACTAGTGGCGCATTTAGCAGGGCGAAACGCTACCTGAGGGAAGAGGTAGCTGCCTTCCGAGCGGAGGACTCGAGCGACCCGTTAACCCTATTTCATGGGCGCCCTCCTCTAGATATTACGGGCGAGCTGGTGGTAGCACGGGACGGGTTTTTCCCGTACAGCGTTAGGAGTCTGCGGGCGATAGTTCCGACGTTCGTAGTAAAGAGCGTCCTCGGAGGTATTGGTGGAGTGGTCGAGACATACCTAGCCTATTAGGATCTCAAGATCCTGGCGAGAAGGCCTGTCGACCTCGACTATATCTATTATTCGCTCGCGGTCGGTGGGCTTCGCTGGGGTGACGAGAGGGTTCAGCTTATAGAGCTGATCCGTTCGATAGGCGACGAGTGGCCCCAGTCTCTGTGCGTTTCGGATTGGCTAGACCGTGAGCTCCGAGCAGGCCCTGAGTACGTGACCTGCATTGGGCGGCTCTTCTCAGACGACTTGGGGAGCTGGTGGAGTGAGGACGTCGGGCGACCTCTGATATACGGCCATCAGTTGGCGGAGTACTACCAGGCTATAGGAGAGGCCCCATACCGCGTCGAGGACGAGTTTGACGACGAGGGTTGGGAGCGAGAGGACGACGAGGACGCTTGGGAGCCAGACTGGGTCGACCCAGAGAGTGAGGTTGACGAGGAGGAGATCGACGTTACGGATGCCCACTTCCCCAGGATCGGAGTAGCCGTCTGGGCATAGGAGGCAGAGGAGTACATTAGAGCGGCGGTTGAGTGAGCTTAGCTACTGATATCGACGGATAGTGGCGAGCGGATCGATGATAGAGCAGGCCAGTGGAGTGGAGCTTCAGATCGACGACACTAGATGGCCTAAACCTCCAGAGATAGTAGCGCCAGGCAAGATGGCGCTGGATCTGCCGGCCAGAGGGGTTTCCGCGGATGCGATAGAGAGTCGATGGTCATCGACGGTGTTGGGCCCTGACGTACACTTGTGGACGTATGTCATCGAGACGTTTGACCTAGACAGTCAGAGGTGGCGACGACCAGGCACGACTAGCATAGACGTAGTGGGCCACATTTATTACTCGCGGGAGGTGCTAGCCACAGTCTATTTTCACGGCATCGTTCACGATCATTGGCGAGAGGAGCAGAGCGCGAGGAGGATCTTACTGGCTCGAGCGGACTCCGCGCGGGGCGAGGTAGAGCGGCTGCACGGGGGTGTTCGAAGAGTGACGACGACCTTGAGGATTGGGGGACACTTCCCATATCCTAGCAGTCGACTGCATGTGACACTTCCGTGCTTCGTGGCGGAGGAGCCTTGGGGGCTTGGACGTCTGGGTGAGATCTACTTTGCGGCTCTTGACTTGAACGGCCTTTGCCGAGGGTACGCTGACAGGGACTGGGTGCTGTATGCGCAGTTTGTAGCGGGGTCACTTGTAGGCGAGCAAGGGCTCCAGTTGGTTGAGTTCTTGCGGGCCATTGTACCTACCGGGAGCCCTGACCTGTATTCTTTGTACCAGCCCCTAGCCTTTTGGACGACGCTAGAGAGAGAGGCTCGAAGGCCAACTGATCATTTAGCTGGTGTGGGACAGCTGCTAGCCGAGACTCGTGAGGAGAGGTCGGGCCATCTCGTCTCGACCGGGGAGGTTGAGGAGTATTACCAGCAAGTATATCCAAAGGCTGACGATCTTGCGTGGTACGCCGAGGATCGGGATTGGGAGGACTTCAATGACATAGACCCTTGGGGCGACCAGGACGAGGACTGGGGAGATCTGGCGCGGGTTGAGCGACAGGAGCAGGTAGGCGGAGAGGCGCCGCAGGAGGACGGTTGGGGTCATCTCCTTCAGGCCGAGGGGCAGGAGGACATCCCATGGGGGCAGAGGGTAGATGAGGACACAGATGAGGATATGCCAGATGCATGAGACGACTAGAGGCAGGACATATCCGAGTGAGGTTTAGAGAAGGGAGTARTGGAGAGTATGACAGACCGGGATATACTGAGGGTGACTCTTTCCCTGCGACGAGATAGGACGGGTGGCTGGGAAGGAGAGGCATTAGAGATTGTTGAGCGACAGATCGGACTCATGACGGAACATGCCGTGGAGATACGGAGGAGCCAGAGGTACGTCGAGTTTACTATCTACTTCCATGGAGCAGACGGGAGAGCGCACAGCACCTACTCGACCATACTGGACCTAAGTGCGAGAGTTGTCTGAGGAGTTAGCAACGTCGAGAGATAGGGTGCATCGGAGGGAGTAGAGTGATGATGATCGAGAGTCGGAGAGGAGATGAGGAGTGATTCAGTGGCCTGGTTAGCTTATGTTCTCTCACTAGAGTCCGAATCGTATAGTGTGAGGAAGCTTGTGGGACCCAGAGAGACGACGGTTGGATATGACATTCCACTTCCTGTGGCGTTAGAAGGGACAGGGCGTGTTCCGATACGATACTTGGGAACGTGGCTCGCAGAGGGACTCTTCCTTTGGACAATGTACTACGAGACGAACGACCCGAGAGGACTCATGATCTAGAAGGGGTCGGACATCTGATAGCAGATAGAGCACACGATTTAGAGATAGGACTGACGCTCGCAGGGGCGAGCAGGAGTTGGTGGAGGAGCGAGTCGTTGGCCAGAGTGATCGTTAACCAACAACTAGCGAGACTCTCTGGGGGGAGGACGCGCTGGAGCCGCTTGGTATACGGTCCTCCGCACCTGACCCTCTACCCGCGAGAGGATTGGCGATTCGGACTTCCTGCCTTCGTGATAGGGCAGACCTATGGCAGTATAGAACGTTTGAGTAGAGCAGTGGACCACACACTTTACGCGCTCTAGGAGGGCTTAGTGACCCGTTTCAGGGAAGTTTACTATGCCATTTGTGTGAGGTGGGAACCACCCAGTAGAGAGACGCTTAACGACATCATAGACGTTACTAGCTGGGTGGACTGTCTGAGGCCAGTCGATCTGATTAGGTACTGCAGGAAACGAGCGGAGATCGATTACGTGGGGCTAGAGGATGTGAGGTTTCTCTTCGAGGCCGCAGCTTAGGGAATGCCGGGGAGGACGGCCACAGTGATGCGTGTAGGAGAGCAACTGGTAAGCACAGGGTACAATGTGACAGTACTTCTCCAACCATACGTAGAAGAGGATTTGACGGCAAGGGAGTGCCGGCAACGAGCCAGAGATTTGATCCACGAGCATAGAGCTGATGTACTGGCGCGGGTGACCTTCCAGACCTCGATTTCCTATGAGGTGATGATATGGTCACATGGCTATATGCGTGCGGAGCACTTCCACGACGAGACGGTAGCGGAGCCTAGAGCAAGGATGAGAGGATGAGCTGGAAAAAGATGAAGACTGAGTATGGAAGAGGAGAGTGACGCAGTTGGAAGGGTGAGAGAGCGCATTAAAGAACCGCTTTTGAACCAGGTAAAGGAGTTGGGGAACAAGTTAAGGGAGATCTGGTCGTGCCAGGATGACAGCAAGTTGCATAGGGCTGAGCTCGTGACGAGAGAGTTGGAAAGTCTGTTTAGGGAGGAAAGAGAGATTATCCAGGCATGGAGATCAGAATTTTTGGAGAGGGTAAAGGCTAGAAGCGTATCACGCGAAGGAACTAGTGAGAGGTCTGCAGAGGGCGTGACGAGGACAAGGTAACGCAGGGAGGTAGTGACAGGACATGAGCGGGACTGCACTACACACGACGGATCGGTACTCATTGCATGTGGTAGGGAGACTGGACGGACCATTGGTGTTAGTGATCGTAGAGCTCCAGCTCCATACCCGCCTGTGCATAGTTGAGGAGGCAGAGTGTGTCCGCCGTGCGCTGCGTGAGGCCAGGGGGACAGGACTTTGGATTGGAATAAAAGGAGGACGGAGGATAAAATACGTACTCCGAGTAACACCCTTCGAAAGGCGGTCGTGGATAAGGGCATGGTACGAGACGACCAGAGAGGCTGAGAGGTTGAAGAAAGCGAAGCCAGGAAAGCTGGAGAGTTAGGGAGAGTTGTAACAGACGGTGCCATACTCAGGGTGCTAGCCGCTCACGATCGGTACTGGAAGGAGTCGATAAAGACTTTAGAGGTCATAGAAGATAGTGGAGATGAGGAGGATTTTGAGACATTCTATGACATTTTGGAGTTGTCGGCGATGAGGTTACGAGTGGCTATAGCACTGACTTACCTCAGGTGCTAGACAGATGACCTCATAGCTGTTTGGGAATTGAAGGAGGAGAAATAGAGGTTGGAAACTCTTGGAAAGAAAGTACAGGTCAGAAAGGTCGGTGAGCGACTTTGGATGGCAGTAGGAGGAGAGCTTCCACCTTCAGCACGCTACCCGATTCAGGACGGGCTAGGAGACCTAACAAGGAGGGCGGAGTTAGACGCTCGGAGGCTCTTGAGGGGTGTTGATCAGGAGACATTGGCTAGGCTTGGGACTGCGATCTGCGGTGGTGTAGAGATCCTGTCACGGGTATACTGCAGATTTGGAGAGGCGTGGCCTTGTTGGCCGATCCCGAAGGGGAGGTCTACCTAGACACAGGGATTCTTGGGATAGAGGGAGAGCACGAGATCCGCGACCGGAACCGAGTACTGGTGGTAGTGATCAGGGGAATCGAGAGTTAGGGTTCGTGACGAGCGTGAACCGTGACAAGGAAACTGGTCCGGGCTGCGAGTTATGTCACTGGTCCGGGCTGCGAGTTCTGAAACTGGTCCGGGCTGTGAGTTCCGTCACAGGTCCGGGCTGCAGCAACTGTCATAAGTCCGGGCTGTGACACCCGGCGAGAGTGCCTAACTACGTCTTCTGGTGGCCTATGGAACCAGACACGATGGGGCCATAACCGACCACGGCCGAGACAGGAGAGGAGTACAGGACATCGCCCAACTGAGCTCTGAGGGATCTGAAGGAATGAATTAGGCGGGACGCACCGCTGAGATGGGCTGACCAAACCTATGACGGAGAGCCCGACGTAATGGGCGAGCCGGTCATGACGGAGCCGCAGGAGGCACTGAAGACGGGAACCTCGAGCGGTCGACGAGAAGCGACGAGACGACGCTCCCCCGAGTATGAGCGGAGGGAGACCATGGCGGATAGGCACAGAGACGACTGGAGAGAGAGCTCAAGGGATTCCTATTGGAGGGACAGAGATAGAGACAGAGCGCCGCTCAGGCGAGTCTTCGACCCTCAGACAGGGGAGTCGCATCCGGTCCCTTACGAGAGCAAGGACCGCTATATTATTACGCACAAGGTCTCTGAGCCACCTACTTTTAGGGGTTATGGCATCACAGAATATCTGGAGAAGTGGGAGTTTCATGCAAGTCAGAGTCAGTGGTTAGAGGAAGAGATTATAGAGAACTTCTTATTTAATGTGGACCCGAGTCTCGGTAGGGAAGTTAAGGAAGCTCGACCGAAGGATGGAAAATGGACTACGTACAAGAAGAACCTCGTTGAGCTTTACAAATTGGAGGATAACAAGTACTCCATCAAGGATCTTGAGACGATGACTCAAGATGAAGATGAGAGCGTACGGGCATTTGGGATGCGTTTCCAGAAGATCTCCGACGTGCTGATGAAGAAGGGGAAGATCTCAGAGGTCGAGCGCTGTACTATCTTCATCGGACACTTGTCCAAAGGTAGGCAAAAGAGTATACTTAGAGATCTTTTGCGCGACAAGCTTTACTTCCCAGAAGTCCTAAAGCTCGCGATAAAGACAGAGGCAGATGACTACAAGGACTTGGTGTGGAGAGGGATGAGGAGACGTGACTTTTCCCTCTACAAGGAGTATGTCACCGATAGATGTCCTGATTTTAACGACCATCCCTGGTCGGAGAAGAATGAAGCCGTGGCCGAAAAAGTGAAGGAGATAAGGGACATGGTAAAGGGATTGACAAGACAGGTTACAGAGATTGTAACCACCACAAGAGCCACTGCATATCGGGACAAGCTCGGAGGGCCATATTCCCTTCGCTGGGACCGGAGGAACACTGATTCCTGGAGGAGTGTTGAGGATAGAAATCCTCGAACACTGACTGATTATCGTACGAGGGAAAGGGAGAGAGACGATGAGCCATGGCGACGTAGGGATGATGAGATAGACCGGGACCGCAGGACTCGCGAGATGTAAAGGCGTGCTAGGAGACTGGATGACTACTCGCGTAGCCCTCGCTATGAGCCTGACGGGGGTAGAGGCAACTCTCGATGCCGGTGGGAGTCGGATCAGGACCGGCGAGATGGATACAGGGATAGTAGATATGAGATATCGGACCGCGATGGACGTAGAAACGACAGATATGAGAGGTCGGATCGAGACGGATACAGGGGCGGCAGATACGACCGAGGAGACCGACGTGATGATTCACGCGGGCGGTACGACCAAGGAAACCGACGTGATGATTCACGCGGGAGATACGACCGAGGGGATCGGCCCGATGATTCACACAGGCGGTACGATCGAGGAGACCGACGTGATGATTCACGCGGGCGATACGACCGAGAAGACCGACGCGATGATTCACGCGGGCGATACGAATACGGAGACCGCCGCAATGATTCGCGCGGCAGGAATGAGAGAGGGGGATATGGCACTTTGGCTGACCCGTATCCAAAGTCCCCTGACCCCAGAGCAGCCAGGGGTTCGACTTCTAGGAGCGCAGACGACAGGCCACCCACACCCAGGTACTCTTGCATTTACTGCAGGGGGGATGATCATATCAAGAGAGATTGCCCGAATCTCAAACGAGCAATAGATGAAGGCCTTGTCGTGCTTGATGACCGCAAGTACGTCAAATGGGCAGATGATCTGGGAGATGTATCGATGTTCCCCTCGATGAAGGAGAATGTCGAAGCAAGGAGAGTAAAGCCGAGTAAAGGAAAGGAGCAGGTTAGGAGCCAGAGCATCAAGATAACTTTTGAAGGAGATATGGCGACCACACCCATAAGGGTGGCAGCTACCAAGTCTACGAGAGGATCTACATCGAAGAAGACCGAGACGGATTACGTGATGGCGGAGAAGGACGGCGGGCAGCGGATCGATGGAGAGGAGGTTATTATTTTGCCGCGAAAGCGGGGAGTAAAGAAGTTCTTGATGAAGAGTTCGCTGGATGAGATTGACACGGTCGAGCCACTGAGACGGGCCCTTCGGCATCCCATGCAGTGCTCAATTCCTGAGTACCTGGCGGCATCGAAGCCAGCCCGCGATGAATTACAGATGATCACACAGAAGACTCGCATACCTCTATCAGAGGAGGCTCAGGGGGCCCCTAAGGCGGAAGCTCCTACCGTAGCAGTAACGGGGGTGACTGCCAGAGCGGATCGCATGTCGACAGTCCTTCTTGATGGGATGGAAGGTGTGCCACCAGACAAGTTTTACATACTTGGTAGTGGGGCCGTGGAGACGATCATAAACGATGGAGCGGTACTACATGCTGTGATCGATAACGGCAGTGAGGCTGTCATTATAGACGAGGATCTGGCAGTACAGGTTGGACTGGGCCTCGATAGGTCATACCTATTCGAGATTGAGACTGCTGATGGGAGAAAGCAACAGATCACTGGGGTTTGTCACAAGGCAGTCATAGAGGTCCAAGGGGTACGAGTGACCCTGCCCATCTTTGCAGTCAAGAACTGCAGCTCCGATCTGCTCTTGGGACGAACGTGGTTGAGCCACGTGCATACGGTGACGATAGAGCGACCGGATGGGAGCCAAACTTAGTCCATTAAGAAGCTAGATGAGACGTAGGTTATGATTGAGACGGTGGAGCCGTGGGACCCAAGGAACAGAGCAGCTCCCGCAGTGGGAGCAAGACCTAGTGATCAGATTAAGTCATTACCTATCTCTGGCCGCGCGGTGCAATTTCGTGAGAAGAAGTATGGACCACTGCTCACAGAGGAAGAAGGTGGGATCGTGGAAGTGGAAGATTTGGGGAGTCGGCTGATAGTAGACGGCAACTCGTACCCAAAGGAGACAGATGAGGAATTTGGCGGGGTGGTATCTGTGTTTTTTTTAAGGGCACGGCCCCCTATGGGGAGCTACCCAAGCGACACAAGCGAGTAGCTCAAAAAGTTAAGCCAACGGCGGTGGGCCGCGAGCGATCTGCACTGGAAGGGATATCAGAAGAAAAGATCGCCAAAGAAATCAAAGAAAGGGAGAAAAAGGAGCCGCAACGCCTAACGGAAGAAAGAATAGTAGGGATTGACATCGGAGATGGAAATCTAACCCCACAGGAGCGAGAACGTGTGATAGAATCCTGAAGAAATGCGATAAGGCTATAGCTTTCAATGACGCAGAGCGTGGTAGGGTTGACCCTCGATACGCTAAGCCAGCAAGGATTTACACGATTTTACATGTTCCTTGGAATGACGGAGGATGAAAATACGCCCAGAAGGAGAAGGAAGAAGTTATCGTTTTTCTGAAAGAAAAGATGGTTTCCCATGTAGCAGAGTCGTCTGATAGCGCTTATGCTAATCGATGGTTCTTCCTACGAAAGCCGAATAGCAAGATCCGATGGATCCATGACCTTTAGAAGGTCAACGCGGTGACGATACGAGACGTGGACTCCGTGCCACACTCCGATTTACTAGCAGAAGGCGCCGCAGGCAGGTCAATTTTTTCGATCTGTGATCTGTTCTCAGGCTATGATGAGGTACCGCTTGATCCTAGGGACAGGCACCTCACAACTATGCACACGCCATTAGGACTGATACAAATGATGGTTGTCCCTATGGGTTGGACTAATGGGGTAGCTGTTTTTCAGAGAGCCATGGTAGCCGTCCTAAAGGACTTCATCCCTGATAAGGTTGAAGTTTTTCTGGATGACTTTCCTATAAAAGGACCAGTAAATAAGGATGAGACCGAGGTTGTACCAGGAGTTAGGAGATTCGTCGAGTTGCACCTAACGGATATTTGCACGGTACTCGAGCAGCTGGACGATGCGAATTTCACGGTCAGAGGGACAAAGAGTCGATGGGTCGTCTCGACTATTAAGATCTTGGGCTTTATTTGTGACTCGAGAGGACGCCGAGCAGATCCGGCAAAGTTAGACAAACTCCTGAGTTGACCGACACCGTTACATAGTTCAACCGAGGTCCGACAGTTTCTGGGAGTGGTCGGTTACTGGCGTATATTCATACGGGGGTATGTGGAGAAGACTGAGTCATTAAGGTTAGTCCTTCGAAAGACTGAAAAATTCTACTGGGATTCCTCGCAGGAAACGGCTATGCAAGACCTTAAAAACGAATTTAAGGAGGGAGGACGCGTACTGGGCGTGCCATTCTTTGACGATGAGACCGAGAGACCTTTTATAGTATCCACGGATGCTGAACCTTGTTCGGTTGGTGGATTGTTGTCTCAGAAGGACGCTGGAGAGAAGGAAAGACCGTTAAGATTTGAGAGTAGAACACTTAATACGGCTGAGCGTAACCACAGTCAATTCAAGAAGGAAGTGTTAGCTGTTCTGCGGTGTCTAAACACGTTCAGACACTATATCTATGGGCGACGGTTCATCTTGAGAGTAGATCCCACCGCGGTTGTCTCTGTCCTCCAGAAGGACTTTAGTCTAACGGACCCGACCATCGCTCGATGGTTAATACAGATTCGGCTATATGATTACACAGTTGAGAAGATATCTGGCACTAAAAATGTTGTGGCAGATGGACTTTCGCGCATCCCTTTTGAGGTCGAGCGCCCGATAGTAGCTGGGGTCCTGACTATGGCGGAGCCAAGACGCACCGAGCGATTTCTGGTTAACCTTTACGAGGGCAAATACCGAACGATCGGGCTACATTTGTCAGGAGAGGAGAGTCAAGAATCAGATATCCGGAGACAAGCGGCACAGTACTGCCTTAGAGCTGGCCATCTGTCTCGAAGGCCGGTCGGCTCGGAGATGCCCTTACGAGTAGTCTATGACCCTGAGGAGAGGACACAGCGGAGTTAAAGGAACCTACGAAAAGGTACGCAGGTTGTACTGGTGGTAAGGACAGTATAAGGACGTCGAGAGGTACTGTATGACATGCGAGGAGTGCCAGAAGAGAGCTCTTGTGAAATACGAAGAGCCACTTCATCCATCCTATCCGACCAGACCAGGAGAGAAGGTACACATCGATCTGGTGAAGATGCCGAAAGGGGTAGGCAATATGAACTACGTCGTGAACATACGAGACGATTTCACTGGGTTCGTGGACGATAGGCCTATCAGGAGTAAGGCGGCAAAGGAAGTGAAAAACTTCGTCCTAAAGTACTTATCTAGGTATGGTTGTGTCAGCAAGATAGTGATGGACATAGGGGCGGAACTCCTAGCTGACGAGGTTTAGAGTGTGTTCAAGAGAGCTGGGGCGAGAGTTTCGATAGCCACTGCCTACCACCCACAATCGAACTCCCCAATAGAGAGGGGGCACCAGACTCTGATAGCGTCACTATCCAAGTGGTGCAAAGGTAAGGACAGTGATTGGCCACGATATTTTCGATACGCAATATGGGCGGACAACGTCACGGTCCGGGCTAGTACCGGATACCCACAGTACACCTTGTGGTTTGGGCGACATTGTCCACTCCCCATAGAGTTTCACGTCGACAGCTGGACAACCGTCGACTGGGCGGAGGAGATGTCCAGAGAGGAACTCATAGCTGCTCGAACGAGACAGATAGCCTACGGTTTGGAAGATAACCTTATGACAGCGGCAGATTGTCTGGCGGGGGAAAGGGACAAAGGCAAAGAGAGATGGGATAAGAATGTGCGGATTAGGAAAGAGAGGGTGAGCGTAGGAAATATGGTCCTTCTCTACGACGCAGCACTAGAGAGGACCTGGACCGGAAAACTCGCCAACAGATGGATGGGACCTTACAGAGTGATTGAGGCACTCGACTGGGGTGCATATATGATAGCAGAGTTAGACGGATCCAAATGGAAGGACCCAGTGGCGGGTGCTAGGTTAAAACTGTTTAGACCCAGGGCCTCACCCACCTTATCGCTGACAAGCCCAAAAGGGAAAGGAAAAGCCAGAATGGAAGATGGAGCCCCCTTGAGGCGATTCGAGGCAGGGGAGAGTTCCAAGAAGAGGAAAAGAGTAGAGAAAAGAGGAAGAGAGAAGAAATGGTTATTCGTGCTCAAGAGGGTTAGACGGAGAGTTCGCGTTAGACGTACTGGCGGGTCGGCACCCTTCCCGGGGCAAAGACAGAAGATAAAGAGGACCGTGCCGAGGCCAAAAACCAGAAGAAACGGGAAAGTCAAGAAACATCTTTTTAGCCCCAGGACTCATAACAAACAGAGACATAAGACAATTGAACGCCGACATAGGCGTCCTTTACGGGTCATCACCCTCAAGCTCGTCCGCTTCGTCTTACGAAAGTGGTAAGGGTTCGACGGGGGCGTCGAGAAGTAGTCCGAGCTAACTGTCAGGCGGCCACAAGCAGTGCGCCACCTGAAATCTGCGGTTTTGGGACTTAGGCTCAAGGGCAAGTCCGTGTTTTGACGGTACTCTGGTTTGACCGGGCAGCAGGAATTAGRGGAACTCAGGGTACCCCTGATTCTGGGCACACTGAACCTTACGACTAACCCTCAAAGATAGTGAGATGGGTGGGYGCACTCGGYATATCTAGAGACCGCCATTTCCAGYCGTTCAGAGGRTTAGACCCGGATTGGCCTGCYGCGGAGAGGCATCGCGGGAACTGACCTCGCCRCAACGTTTTTGCAGCATACGACCGGGGCCGAAATAAGGCCTCGAATTTTTGTCTATTTTAGTACCATAATTAAAGAGGGGGAAAAGGGATTAAGACCAGTAGGGGAGAAGGRAAAAATATAATATCCTTTAATTTCTTTATTTTTCACGGCATTTAAATCTACGGGGAATACCCTTATTATTTTATGTTCCCGGCAATGRAATTAAAAACATAGGAAAAGATTAAAAATGGTAAAAGRGAAAAGAAACAAAAAGAATTCGGCCATTTATTTAAACTTCCTCAAAATTTAACTTTGGGGATCTTACGGTTAATTCACCATTCCCGACAATAGAATCAAGGAAAACGAAGAATGATTAAGAACGATGAAAGRGGACGGARACCCCATGACTGATGGGTGATCSGTCTAATCTCGCCTTGATTACCCGCTATCAGCCCTGACCCCGGAAAGGTCATTGTCACCGGATTTTAACAGTCTTCACTATTGCCGATGGTCGAGATTCCCTGCGTCACTTTTCCTGTTYTGCTTGATTACTAACATACCGCACTTGAGATGCTCTGARAGCGGGAGTGGYATGGACAACATGGGGTGGTGCTACCTTGGGCCGACGGTATGGTACRRAATTGTTATGGGGAGGCCGCGTCCTACAGTAACCGACCTGCACGTGGTTAGGTATGAGGACGGCGTCGTTTTGTTTCAGGGTAGAGACCATCACRGTGACTTATTTTCGGGTCTACGGCCGGTGTAGTGATTTATTTCCAGGACCGGGACCRCTGAGACAGTTATTTCAGRCTTGGGACCTCGGCGATAACTTGATTTCAGGTCCGTAAACGTTGCRGCATTCCATATCAGGATCGGGACTATCACCGTGGGTTATTTTCAGATCAACACGGATATTTATTTCAGGTGCGGAGACGACGCAGCGACTTATTCCATGTTCGACATTACCAATGGCGGCGTATTTCAGCGCTGGCACCGTTAAGGCTGCCTACTTCAGGTCCGGGGCAGGTTTGGTATTACCTACGGTACTSAGTGTGGGTAGGCGCCACCTCATACTGGG